AATACAAGTCATAGTAGGTGCGATTGGAATGATAAAAAAATGGAACATAAATAATATATTGAAAAAATCCCTGGGATTGCTAGTTTAATAGAAATACAAAAAATTGTCTTGATAACTACAGCCCACATACTAAGAACTTTGTTCATTTAACGCTAAAGAAGCTATGGGAGTTAGAAAAAGAAATCACGATATGTAGATATAACAATACACCACGACCTGCCTTACGTTTTTCCGCAAACTTTTCAGTTAGTGTGACCATATCAGAAATCGAAATAATAATAATAATAGTAATACAGCCCATGACCAGGTGTGACCTTCGGGTCGCTGCGCAGTTGGGCATCTAACCATTTCTCTCCACCTCTGTGGCTTGAAAGACGGATAGGTATTCATTCATGCAATTAGACCTGACAGAGCCCATCCCCCCACCCAAGTCAAAGCACGGCCAATTTCTTCCAACTTGATAGCTCACCTTGGTCAAGGACATGACCGTTGATTCCATTGAGGGAACCCTGCAACCTGGCCGATGACATCAGTCTAAGAAACCCTCCTTCCAGCGATAACATGTCATCACCGCACTGGTTGCATACGTAGTTATAGAAGCGAGTCTACAAGAATGTTAATACACTATTTAACAGGCCTTGTTTTTAAACCTGCCAGGTGTGTTTTGCGATTCTATACAGATTTGCTCTCCTCCGCCTCACAGAAATTAACTCAGCTAAATGATGTCTGAGTAACGTAATAGGTAACGAAGTTGTGTAGCTGTGTATCTCTGTAGGCTTGTGAAAGAACAAAGTCTAACATCATTTAACAGTGAAATTGTTTTTACTCTAAGCAAGGCAATAAAGGTACCTATGATGAAATTAGGGGACAATAATTGAAGGGGATTTAAGAAGACAGAAGATGACATTTCCATTGAATTTATATTTTTGTAGATCACAGTTGACAGAAAAGCGGGCAACTGGAGGAGACTTCTACAAACGAGAAGTGCGAATGAAGACACTATTAGCATAGGACTTACAGTTCTAACTAGCCATTTCGAAAGTGGGATTATGATACATAGCTGCCAATCTAGGTAGCAACGAGGAAAGATATTCAGAACAACTATCGTGAAAATATTTATAGAAGAGGCAAAGTGAAATTACGTAACGTCGGTGGGAAAAAGGACTAAAGTCGAGATACCAGGTCAGTCCACTTGGGATTTTGTCAAGAATCTCTAGATATGTAGCGGAAGCAACAAACAAGATGTAACAGCGATATTCGATATAAGAAACGGTAAACTAATAAATGCACAAGATAGAGTATAGCATGGCATAGTGAACAGGTTTTGCAATTAAGAGCACTAGCAATTGATTAAATATAATCAGTCGATTTCCTGTTACTTGAATATGTGAGACCAAAAAGATACCCTGTTTTGCTCTCCTGGAGGTTAACGTCAGCCATGTTAGTGAAAGGCAAAATAGATTCTTTAAATTATTAACAGAGAGTAGTATCATTTTGGACGCACTACAATTAGCAAGCCATTTCTTTCCCCAGCTAGGACCACAAATTATCTCCAAACTCGCATAGTCTATAGTTTATTCTCAGGCAAGAGTAGTAATGGTATACTCGAAATATTTAAATTCCGGAAAGTTATCAGAGGCATGAGGTCACTGCATCGTCCTATAGAAGAGGACAAAAGTGACCGATGGCAACTGAAAGGTATTTAATATTTAAGAAACAGTGCAGCGCGATGCATCTCAACTCATCAATCACTGCACTGTACACAGCAATCCGTCCTCTTTTTTTCGTAGCTGATCCAGCAAGAGTTACTGGACCATAGAGATCTTTATTAAACTCTGGAAGACTGGTGTTGCGTCGATTGACCCAACTTGTCACGTTTACATAGATTTGACCTCATGCTTAACGAAATCACGCAAATTAGTCTGTGGATGCAGCCTATCAGCAGATGCCGGGCTCCCTGGTGTTATCACCGCAATAAGACTGTTTTCTCTTGGGGATCAAAGCACAACTAATGCCACTTTTTTGCCAAGACACTTGTTAGATATACAGGCCTTGTTGCTGTCAATTAGATCCTCTTAATTTTCGCCATGTTTCCAATTATTGGTGGGTTTTTCCAACAAGACAATCAAGCCAAATTTTATTTGGGTTAAACGAAACTGATTCTATCAACACTCAATTCGCAACTAATTCATTTTCTCCTGAACTCGGCAGATTTTAATCCCATTGAACATTTATGGAATATGTTGCATATTTTCCGTTTAGTCTCACCAAAAACAACATAACTCAGTTTTGGATATCACAAGAATGCGTTTGAATAGATAGATATATACACGCAACAATTCGTAACATCAGGAAAGTTCGATGCGATATCGCATTGCTGCTGTTAATTCAAATGAAATTATTAGTTACACATCATCATGTAACCATCCTTTATATTCACTGTTCTTTGCCTATATGAAATCACACATCAAGGACTATATTTCCATGAAAACATTTATAAAAATTTCATTGACCACTTTTAATTTTGCGCCACTGTTGTCAG